AGTTTGAGTGCCAGGAGCAGGGGCAGTATGAAGCCATGACTCTGGGGAGACAGAGGTAGAGAGGAAGATGGGAGGGTGATGGGATGAGGGTGTTTTTTGCTTCCAGCTGCTCCTGTGAGGTGGACTTTCACAGGCTAAGGGCTGAAAAGAACCATCAAGCAGTGGTTTGCCCCATCTGCTGGACTTTGGTCTGTTGATGATTGCCTTTGAATTCCTTCTGGTCCTGGACTGAGCCTGTGTGCCTTTCCAGTCTTTATGGAGTGTAACAGTGCTGTTTTACTTATCCATGGCATGAAATAAATGGAGGCAACATCTGAGTCTTGTGACACACTGGACTGTGGCTTTAATGGTTCATGTGCTAGACAGCGTGTGGGAGCGGGATGCCGCCGAGCAGTCAAGACTTTGCGGAGCTCAGTAAGGCGCATGTTCAGTTCCAAGTGACAGAGCACGGAATTGCAGTACAATGCTGCTTAGATTTTATAAGTATTTTGTCCTATATCAGGAGCCACTTCAACTTGGCTGTGACAACAGTCCCTTTGGTACCCTCCAGATGAGTAGGTGACAATATATTTTACCGTGGGACACTTTTGAGAGTGAAAGAGGATGCTACTAATAATTATAACAATAAAATAGGCCTAAACCAAGACTGACCTGGGAAAAGGACTTCGGATGGCCTTACCCCTGAGCCACCTGCACAATTAGTCCCATTAGCAACCTGGGTTGAGCACTCCCTCTGCTGTCTCGGGCACAGGGCTAGGCTCCATGGGGGAGGTGGTGAAGGGGAGCCTGGATCTTTGCCTGCATGCAGCTTCCTACTGAATTGCAAGAGGCACACCTGAAAAAGAAAATTCACATGTACTGCGAGCAAGTGCCTGGCCATGGGTGTGGCAGGCGTTCAAAGGAGGTTCAGCATGGGGGGGGGGGTGGAGTCAGGGAAGTCCTCTAGAGAAGGAAGCAGCGCTTGGAATGGGTCTTAAACGTGCATTGGGTTGGGCAGGGAGCGGGCAGCCTAGATGGGAGTTCCTATGGACCTTCCCTTCAGCTAACATGTTCTGTTCAGTGGCATATGCCCTCCACATGCAGATAGACATGGGGCAGCATGTGGGCAAATGACAGGAAGATGGAGCAGGCCAGGAAGGTTGAACCAAACAATGAAGGGGAGGGTGGGGCACCGGAAGAGCTGGGCTGGAGCACTTCCTGGAAGCATTTTATTTTCCTTCTAAGTTGAGTTTCATCCCAGGAAACTTGATTCAGGTATGACATCCTCTTCATGAGGATATTTCAAAAATGGAGCAAATCGGAGCCCTAGCCACTCCAGCCTTTTCATAGCCACTGCTTCCAACCTAGCCTGTCTCAAATCTAGACTGCTGTGAAAGATCACGTGGTTCCTCGGCTTGAGAAATTTCAAAGACTCTCCTTTGTTTATAGTATAGACTCTCTCTCTGGTCCTTATCCTAGCATGTAAATTCTTCCATGATCTGGCAGGCAGCACTGTTTCAGTTGCAAATAACAGAAGCACGACTCAATCTGGAATGAAACTCATGAGAGCAGAGGCGTTGTCTCTTTTGCTTACTGCTCTAATTCCAGACCTTGGAATGGTGCCTGGCACCTAGAAGGCTCTCAATAAGTATTTGTTGAATGAATAAATGAAACCAGGTTAAACAAAAATGGACAATATGTGCTCCGGACCTGGATCCAGGAACTTAAGCAACATCATTTGTCTTCCTCTCTCTCTTCTGTGTTTCTGTGCGCATGCTGTTCTCATTCTGTCAGACTGAAGATGGGCTTCCTCCTGGTGAGGGACATGGTAAAGCAGGGCGAGTGAGGGCATAGCTACATACGGCTCCAGGCTTAGAAACTGCAGAAGAAAGAGAGACTCTGTCCATTTCAGGATTAAAAAAAAATCCCAGGGGCCGGCCCCCTGGCCGAGTTGTTAAGTTCACGCACTCCGATTCCGTGGCCCAGGGTTTTGCTGGTTTGGATCCTGGGTATGGACGGGGCACCACTCATCAAGCTATTCTGAGGTGGTGTCCCATATAGCACAACCAGAAGGACCTAAAACTAGAATACACAACTATGTACTGGGGGGCTTTTGGGAGAAGAAGAAGCAAAAAAAAAAAGAAGGATGGCAACAGACGTTAGCTCAGGTGCCAAAAAAAAAAAAATCCCAGAGAAGTGTTCTCATTGGTTAGGCCAGGGTCACATGAGCCTTCTCCAGCGTGATCAGTGAGGAAAGCAGCACGGGATACTACCATGGGCCTGACCTGGGCTGTGTGCCTGACAGGAGGCTCTAGCAATTTACTGTGATTGGCAGCTCTTCCAGAATCACGTGATTGGGGCTGGAGAGCAGCAGTCACCAGAGGAAAGAGTAGGGGAGCTCTTATCAGGAAAAGCCAAGATCCTGGTACTGGCAGGAAAAACAAACAAAAAGCCAAATGTCTAGGGACGAGTATATAAATACTCCCTCGGAATGAGGCTGGGGTGGGAGTCATGGGACCCAGGGACGTGCAACAAACTTGACATGATTTTGAAGTCTCAGTTTTATCTTTTTGAATTTGTGCTTGTTTTAACAGAAAAACAGTGCTTTAACTGACTCAGTATTGAATCAAATCTGTGCTCAAGGAAGTTGTGCCATATGTATTCTGCGGCTTTTTGTGCCAACCCTTAGGACAGTCTTAGCCCCTCAAGGGTCTGCATAGCCCACGTTGAGAAGCCAGACTCGAACAGTTTCCTCCAGACCTATTTCCTGACTGCCCTCGTGCCACGCCAGCCTGTGCTGTGCCATTCTCCCCTGTCTGGAATGTCCTCCCCTAGCATCTTCCTGGGCCGCTCCCTCTGTCCTTTAGACACAGTGAATTACAGTGGGAAGAACCCTGAAGATCAAGGTTCGAGTTCTAACGTTGCCACCAATTCTCTGCACGAGCTCTCAGCAAGTGATTTCCTCTCTCTGCTACTTGGTTTCCTCTTCTGTAAGATGAGGGATTGCCCTGACCCTGTTAGCACAGGGCAGCTCCCAGCTCCTTCTGCGCCTGCCCCCGCCCCCCCAGCCCCTCTTGGCATACTCCCAACTAGGAGGCGTTCTCTTGGTACTGGCCAAATTCTAGGACATTTTATTGGTTCTGAACTTCAGGGGCTGGAGCTTTTTTCACTAGTACATGAAAGGAGTTGAAGGTCAGTGTTTATATCAAGGATCTCTCTCCCTGCTGAACGTGAGATCTTCCATTTTGGAAGGCGGCCCTCCCTCACTCTTCCTCTATTCCCTACTCTTTGTCTAGCAGGACCAGAGCGAGGCCTAGGGGGAGGACACTGGAGAATTTGGCTGAGCAAAGCAGATTGTCTGTGTGGTCCGACCTGGCTCAGAAGGTCAAAGCCCCAGCTGATCTCAGCTCTGTACCGGGTGGCAGACAGAGGAGAGGATTCGTGTGTTCAAGGCCACTCTGGCTCAGGATCGCCTTAACCCCTGCTTCTCTGACATGCTGTCCTTTCCCCACAAGGGGATGGCACAGAGCTAGGCACCCAGAAAGTGTGTTCTGATTGACAGAATGCAGCAGAGACAAATGTTTATGAAAGACTTACAGGGGAGCACACACATTTCTGCAAAAGGGCACGTTTGGTTGGATGATTATTTGTTCTTAAGCAGGAAAAGGACCTGGCAGCAGGAAACTGGAAGTATGTTCTCAGAGTATATTTTGGTCTCACAACTGCAGTTCTGCTTTAAGGAACATGATGGACATAATTTGAAAGTAATGTCTAGTAATGTGCACTTGCTACAGCGTGTGACTAATCTTTTGGGGTAAAACAGTTTGCCCAGAGTGCTTCTCAAAGGATAGGTGGGACCCTAGGTCTTCTTCTAGTGTGGGGGTCTCTGTTCAAATCAGCTTAACCGAGGAACATTCAAACCCTTGGTAGGAGTCTTGTCAGACCGTGGGCCTGGTATGTTTCCAAGTAGTTACGTCTCTCTCACCAGAACAAGGAAAGCCTAAATTTGCGAGGCACATGTGTTCTCCAATGCCTGGGTTGTAATGGAGCTCAGCAGAATTGGTGGGAAAATGCAGGGGGCTTTATCTGCATCTGCAAAAAGTTAGCTAAGTGGAATTAGGCTTTCTGTAAGGTGTTTTCCTGACTCAGGCATGTCCCAAACTGGCTAGTGTGTCTTGAGGCCCTGGGTGGGCATCCAAGTCCCGCCGTCCTGAATGGCTCCTAGAGGAAAGGAGGCTGCTTCAACTTTCTATACTTCTTAAAGTGTTACTTTGATTAGACAGGAGATAGCAGTCTGTTTAGCAATATTACTCTTATTACTCTGTCATGGTTATATTTTCAAATTATACTTGCTGTTTCCTTTGCCAAGAGCAAATGATAACACACATCTGCGCGGCAGAGCCAACCAAAGCCGTGGAGGGTTTGCCCAGACAGGTTTGCAAATGTGTTCTAGGCCCACTGCTGCCCAGATAGGAAGTCCTTCCCCATCCCCAGGTCAGGGGGCCATGCTTTTTTTTAAAAAATAAATACAAACTCTTTAAAAAAACAAAATGAGTTTTATTATCGCTATAAAAGTAATGCATTTTGTTGTTTATACAAGTATTACTTGGAAAATACATAAAAGAATAAAGAGAAAAACAGATATCATCTATAATACCAGAACCCAGAAACAACCACTATTAAATTTTGGTATATTTCTCCCTAGCCTTTTCTCTAAATATTGATACAAAACTATGGATGCAAAATGTTCCCAATACACTTATATTACATATTCAGGAACATATTGCAAAAATAATTTTGTACCTTCCTTTTATCACTTTATCATATTGCAACCCACAGATAACCATTATAAGATTTTTGGTTTATTCCCTTCAGCCTTTTGTCTGTATATTGATACAAAACCATGCATGCAAAATGCTCCCAATATATTTATACTGCATATTAGGAACACATCGCAAAAACAGTTTAGCATCTTTCTTTGATAGACTTTGGTATACTTCCTCCTAGCCTTCTTTCCATATTATTGATACAAAACTATGAATGCAAAATGTTCCCAATACATTTATATTACGTATTAGGAACACATCGCAAAAATAGTTGAGCATCTTTCTTTGATCACTTATTATGCCACAACTCAGAGATAAACCACTATTAAAGTTTTGATATATTTCCTCCCAGCCTTTTATCTGTATGTTGAAACAAAACTGCAGACAGAATGCGCCCTATATACTTAGATCATATAGATGGGAACAGAGCAAAAAATTTGCACTTTTCTTTTATCACGAAATATTTCATCAGGAGCACATTGTCATGTCACTTATTAGATGCACCATATTTTATTTACCCGATCCTTTGTTGTTGGTCATCCCGGATGTTCCTAATTTCCATCCTTCAAAATACTGAAATGAGTGTCTTTATATCTTCTTTTTCTGTGACTTTATGTTCATGTAGTTTTTACGTTTTTTCTTGACCACTTATATGAACTCAACATATTAAAGATGACCCTGTGTCTGCAGTGCTTAGAGCTAATGTTTTCCAGTTGTTGTTTGCTGAAGTATGAATTCTTCAACATTCCGGCATGAATATAAAATCTTATGCCTCGTATAAGATTCAATCCATTAAAAAGAAACTCAAAATAATAAAGACACAAAGTCCGACCCCCACCTCCCATTAAACTATTAAAATACAACTCGTTGCCCTCCTCCCCCCTTGGCAACCACTCTCTTCCTTGCTTAGGGCCCGTGTTCTCCTGATCTTTTCATCCACCGTTCTTGTGATACTTACCAGTTGTATTGCCATGAGGATGAATGGCTCCCAGACCTTTCAGTTATCAATCTGTCACAAGTGCACAGTGGTATCTCGTGACATGATGATCCCCGAGATGTCTGAGGTCCTTGACTCAAAATTTCTGTGTTGCCCATGACCCCTAAAGACTTTTTAGAGAATTATGTTTGACAACGTAACAAAAAAACATGCCATAACAAAAATACATGGTAAAGTAGAGAAAGAAAAAACTTCAGCTCGAATCCTACCACCTAAAGCGACAAGTATGTATATTTTGCATGTTCTTTCCAGTTTCTGCTTCTATATAGACCCACTTCTCAATCAGGATGTCCATGTGATTTTATGTCCCTGATTTGTAAAACTTAGTATCATAAGCATTTTCCAGGTTTCTACATAATCTTTCTAATTATTATTTGTACTGGCTGAAAAAGCTTCCATTGAGTGAGTGACTGAGGGAACTATGGTTGGACATTCCATTTGTTTCCTTAAGATTAATTTGGTTGAATCTATAGATGGTTTCAAATATGGGCCAGAGATTTTAAACGAACTTACATCATGCTTTTTTTGGTGTGTGCACGTCTGCTTGTACATAGCTGGGTAATTTATAGCCACTATTTAGTCATCCTGGGGCCAATCTTGGGCCTCACCCAGGAAGTGTCTGCTCATCTTAAGACTAATCAGTTTCACCTCGAATTTTTCTAGGGAAACTAATTCCACTCCATTTCCTGCTCTAGTCACTACTGTGTAGTCGGTTCTGATTAACAGGTAATGATACAAGAAACACAGCACGAGGTCTGGGGGAAGAGGCCCCAGACTAGCCTCGGACAAATCCTTCACCTCCAGAAGCCCCAGTTTCCTTGTCTGTTATTGTTTTTTATGACTGCCTTCTCCTATTTATCTCTCGAGGTTGTTGCAAGTAGAAAATATGAAAGCATTTGGAAAAGCATGTAAACGTGTGATACAAAAGTAAGATATTAGGATCATTATGATTCTGATTATTGCGGTGTTCTTGGCCAGGCCTTTGAAAGGGCTGGTCTTGGGATAACCGCCCGGTCTGCAGAGCGGGCAAGGGCGGGGATCGGGGCCAGGTGAGGGAGCTGCCTTGGGAGAATCACACTTCAGAGCAATCAGGACTCTCAGTGCGCTGCTGCCCGGGATCAGCTCCCACACTGACGGGGGCTGGAAAGCCAGGGCCACGTCCCCAACTCCCAAGGGCCCGCTCAGATACTAGAGCTCTCTAGAGTCAGGGGAATGCTCCAAAGCCCACGCGGCCACAGGAAATGGAAATCTTTTCAGGGCTCCTCCCTAATGGCTCAGTTTACTATCCCCACAGGGGTCGAAGCCTTTCTGAACTTGCCAAAGAGATCAATTGTAGATTGCGGGGGCGGGGTGCAAAGTAAGGAGATAGGTGAGTGAGCAGATCCTTGCCCCTTTACTGAGCAGTAACTAATGGGTGGGCGGGAGCGGGGTGTAGGGTGGCAGGGAGATACACATTTGCTACAATTGGTGTATATATATTGTTTTCCATTTAAGAGTAATGTAGTCATTCTAAATACCAGTGCATTTATGAAGTTCTAGGGTCACAAGGATATTACACTGAAGGCTGACGGGAAGATAGGTCTCTAAAAATTGATGCCAACGTGGGTATAACCCCCAACTCAAGTCTTTGATTCTTATCAATAATTCCTATCAAAAAACTCATTGGTCTCCCCCAAAATGCTTCTTGAACCTATTTTTATTTTCATCTTGCACCGTCTCTCAGGAAACCTGCCTAGAAGTGAACTCCCACCTGTGTAGGATCACTTTTTCTCCCAGTGTTGCCCTGAGCTCTAGAGTGCTGGATGGGGGAACAAACCCAGTCCCCTGCTGCCCCGTCGGCCTCGATGCTTTGATAGGTATGGTGTTTTAAAACAATCAGCAAAATAATTTGCACTGCAGAGTCCTTATTAGGTCTTTTTAATTGGACAGTTGCCCGTATTAATGGAAATCAAAAGCAGCATACAATCATTCAGTCTCCCAGCACTGGAGTGTATTCAACTCTTTTCCTGCTTGGGGTTCCACTTTAGTCCTTGTCTGTATGCACGCATACGTTTTTATAGTGTTGCAACCACTGCCTTTCTTTGTGGCCCTGGTTACTGGCATCTAGTTTTCCAAGTAACATTGACACACATCTGTTCAAATCAATTGACGTTCCCATCGTGACTGACTTGTTTGGAGGGAAAAACAGCTTTATATGCCAATTGGAACAAAGAAGCGCGGGTATGGGGGAGCAGCAGGGAGAAAGAAATGCCCGGAGAGGGTTATTTCGACTTACAGATCATAAAACATTCCCCAATAACATTTTTAAAGGATGTATAATATTACACTGAGTGATTGATTCTGTTTTACCCCATGTTGTGGGACACTTGGGTGGTTTTCAATACCTAGTGAGTTAAAAATGCAGACTTTGAGAGATGATTGTATTTTCTTGAAACAGGAGTCTTCTGTGTTCAGATCCGGGCCAAGAGTGTTGATATAGTGTTCCTTTGTTGGAAAAAAATGTCAGTACTGCTAACTGGAGATGCTAGAGGCCTTCAAAAAATATTCCTGTGATTAAAATTTTTTAAAAAATTATGTTCAATTCTAGTTTATGAAAGCAACCTGTATACCTTGTCCCACAACTTATAGAAATGTCGAATGTAAATTTAGAGGTAGACGAAGCTTTTCGTAGTTTAAGGGCCACGTCTGTGTAATAAACTGAATACAATGCCTTGTGCACGCAGCTTCCTCACTAACAAATAACGTGTGCTGGGAAAAAAGGAGCAAACAATGGGAAGGTGCCTCCTGGAAGGTGGTAACACTGGGGCAGTTAATCAGCTGACTCTAAATGGATTCGCTTTACAAAGTCTCCCACACATTATGATGCACATTTAGCAACGTTGAAAAACAATTTTAAAGAATTCCTTAGAGAGTTGTTAAAGAGAATTTATAGTCTGGAACGAATTGCCATCTTCTTAATTGACACAGAAATGTTTGGCTAAAATATTGCTTTATTCACATTTTTGTCCTTGGAGGAAAAGCTAGGCACACTGAAACTTCGATCGTGTGAATACTGGTGCAAGACGAATGTTTTAAGTCAGAAAAGGGCACCACGCGTCCGAGGGCTGTGGGGCTGTGGGGACGCCCCCAATCTCGATGCCTCCTGGGGGCCGGGGAAAGGGCCCTTTCGCTTGGGGAAGGCAATGCCCTCCAGTCGGGATCACTCGCTCCCCGCCCTCCGCCCCTCGCGGCCCCGACCGGCGGGGCTCTCACCTGTGTCCTGCGGGCGACGGATGGCGCGAGCGTGGTCCTCCCGGAGGGCTGGGCGCCGGGTGCCACCGGGCCTCCTGGCTCAGGGGGACCAGACAGGGCGGGCAGAGGCGGAGAAGGGAAGCTGGTGAGCGGCCGGAGGGCAGTCTCGGGCCTCCCCGACCCTCAAGGGCAAAGCAAGTCGGGGCCGGGAACCCGTTCGCCGTTCGAGCCTCGGCAGTGCGGGCCTGAGGGGCCCTGGGCCGCCGGGCGGGGCGGGGCTGCTAGGCTGGGAGAGCGCGGCGCGGGGAGGCCCCCGCCAAGGCCCCGGGAGCCCGAGGCCGCACCGCCCGGTGGCCCCGCGCAAGGGCGTCTGGGAGAGCGGGTGGCTGGAGCCTGACTCCCGGCCCTGGGTGCCCGGAAGCCCGGGCAGCCCCAAAGGGGGACTCTTCCGGGGACCCCACTCCCGGCCCCCATGAAGACGAGGTCAAGGCAGCCCATACAGAAGAGAGGGACTTTTTGTGTTTCTTTTCTTTTAAGATGACATAAAGCGTGCAAGAGAGTCCACACCTCCCTTTGTCTTTGCCAAGGGTCCTTTACCTGCCCATGTGCCAGGTCAAAAAAAAAAAAAAAAATCTAAAGTCATTTTCACAGGAAAAGGGAGACACCAGCCAGAGATTAGCCCTCTTTTCTAGGCCGGCTGTCAAGCTCCTAGCCCACTGGGGACCACCAGTGAGGGGTGGAGGTGGCTTTAGAGGTCGACAGGTGTGCAGCGCTAAGTAGCAGGAGTGCCCAGAGTTGTGGAGGCACGACGGACCCCTGAATGGACAGCTCAGGAAGCGTCGAGCCAGTGCCCTGCCAGTGGGTTAATCGAGGCCCCTGCGGCGACAAAGGTGGCCTTGGGGCGGCGCCTCCATAGTTGAATTCTGCGAGCAGATTTTGGGGGATAGGGCAAGAACCAGGTAGACACGCAGAAGTTCATTCCAGAGCCACCCCCTGGGGTCCTGGTCTCCCTGCAGGCCTCAGATCCGGCAGCTCAGCGCCTTCCCACGCCGCCTG